GGGACTATATAATTTCTTTATAATTCTATCCTTTAGTAATTATTATATTTCTTCTTCAATATATTTTTTGATTAGCAGGGTTTGTTCTATAATATTATTATCTTATTGATTTAACATTTTTTTCTATCTCTATTCTATATTTAATAATATTAGTTTTTCCTATTTGATATATTTTTTTTGTAAATATTTCTTCATATTGTTCAATTAATTTATTGAAATTCTCTTTTTGTTCTTGTTTTAACTTTTCTATTTTGAACTCTTCAGGTTTTACTATATATTTATTTGATGATGATTTTTTTATTTCCAGTTCCTTTTCTAAATCACTTTCTTCATCATTTATCTCATCTGAATGTGGTCAATCCTGTTTTGGTTTATGATTTCTCTAAAAAAGAACTTGTTCTTTCTCATTATCACTTTTATAGTTGTCTTCTGTTTATTTATATATTGTTGTAGTTTTGATACCTTAGTTTCTCCAGTTAAGAATTAATTCTTGATTTTTTCAATTATAATTAGCTCCTGTTTTCATCATCCAATTATTTTCTAATAATATATAGTATGCTTTAAACTTTTATTAGTTCATAATGACAAACAGAATAGTATAATTTTGTTATTATAATATTTAAAATTAAATTCAAGCTAGAATAGTTAAAATAATTATATACTTTTTAATTTTTAAAATTAAAATTTTATATTAAAAAAAATAAGTTAACAGAATTTAAGTCCAGTTTATTTTTAATTCTAATCTTAAATTTTATATTTTGATTTATAATATATTTTCTAAATTTGTAAGAAACTTATACTGGTTGTTTGATCTAAACTTTTATTTTATTTCAAAATTCTATTTGGATCTTATTATCATAACTAAAAACTAAAACTTTTAATCTATTATAAAAATATTATAATAAAAAATTATTTCTTACTATATAAAATTTAAAATTAATTATTTAATAAATTTTATAATTATACTAGTTAATCAGAATTGTATTAGAATTTAATCATTACATTAGTATTTAGTTATTATGTCTAATTGTATTAAAATTAATTTCTAGATTTAATTAATTAAATTAAATTTAATTAAATTCCTAACTCAATTTATATTGTATTTACTATTTTTACTTCAGAATAAATTACAATATTGATTTGAAAAATAAATCTCAAAACAAATTAAAAAGAAACTGATATAATAAGTTAATATTATATTTGTATATAAAATAGACTATTATAATAAATCAAAATATTTTAAAATCCAACAATTAAAATAGTTTTTTATTAAAGATAATTTAATCTTACTTAAAATCTAAAAATTTTAGTTACACAGATAAATTCTTTAATTGAAAATACATTAAACTGAATATTTTTTTTATTTTTATATATAGAATAGATATTTTAAAAATCTTAAAAAACAAAATATCTCAAAAATCAGAAATCAATTTTGAAAACATATATAGTTAACACCTCTTATTGAAAGAATAATAAAGTTTAACTGGTTATATTGTTAAAATAAATAATTTGTTTATTCTATCTAAAAATATATTGATACTTTCTATTAATAAAGAAGTACATCAGGAATTAAATAAAAACATTTTATAATAACATTTTATAACATTATTCAAACAATACTAATATATTAGAATGTAATGTTCTAGTATATTATTTGAATATTTCATACTTATAGTATATTGGAATACAACATTCTAATATATTATTTGAACAATTATATTTATAATGTACTAGAATGCAACATTCTAGTATATTATTTGAACATTTCATACTTATAATATATTAAAATAGAACATTCTAATATATTATTTAAATGATTTGTACTTATAGTATACTAGAATGTCTTTATATAATTCCTGATATATATCAAACTACTGTGTATTTTAGAATATAACACATTAAATTTCTTAAAAAATTCAATATAATAAGTAATGAAATCCAGTAAATTTCTATTCTTAATAGTAGATAAATTATTTACTTAAATAATTGAAAAAAAATTAAATTTAAAAATAATTTTTATATTAAATCTTAACTTAAATTAATCAGGATAACTTCTGAAATATCAAATTACAAGGTAATATTAAATTACATTATAACAAATATTATGATATTTAAATAATTAACAAGATTTCAAGTTATACAAAATTTGTTTTAAAGTGATTGCAAAGTATATTAAATAATCAACTTTTTTAATATTATTCAATTAATTTATTTTAACTACTATAAAATACTGGTCAAAAATTTATAAATACTACACTTGATAGATGTAATATTTATAAATTATTGATTAATGAAATAATGGTACTATAGAAGTATTTATCAATAATAAAATTTTATTTAATTAGAATAATAAAATCAACTAAATTGCAAATATTAATTTTGATACATTTACATTAATAAACTGATAAATAAATGTTAATAAAATAAAAAATATTTTTATTTATTTAATTTTAATTCTTAAAATATTAATGAAAGAAAATTTTTTTAATTATATATACAAATTAATAATGAATTATTAATATATGTCTTATATTATCAAGAGGTGACAAATTTGAATTTTTTTTTCTCTTTAGCTATATTTTTTTTTTCTAAAAAATATACTTTTAAACAAATATTTTGAGATATGAAAAAATTCAATTGGATTATAAGATGATCAACAGAGTTGCACAAATTTATATTTGCATAAGGAAAGGGATTAACTTAAGGAATTTTTGAGTAGTTATACAAACATTGATCAAAAATAATTTAAGTAGGCAAATTTGCCTGCATAATGGTTTAAGAGTTAATTATAATACATCTATTGTTCACCTATTAGATACTTATTGGTAACCTATCTAATTTTCTAATAGTTGTAGATAAGTATCTGATAGTGTTCAAAATATCAATTCCATCAGGTATCATTATTAAGTATACTATTTGGCTATTGTTTTGTAAAAAGTTTGATAAATTTTTCAAAAAATAAAAGATACTTTTTTATATATTGAAAAAATTAATTTTTTAAAATTATTATGTTTTTGATCTATAAAAGATTTGAAACATATTTAAAATAAATAAAAATTTACTTCACTTTTTTATATATCAATAATGCCATTCTTAGACAGATTATGTCTTAATATATCAAAAAACCAATCATTTTTGTCACATGTATAAAAAGTCTTCAAAAATGATACCTTTGCAATTTTAATATATTCAATTGGAAAGTTTAAGAAATTTTCACATTTTATTTTTATTTATTTATTATTCATTTATTGGTTTGATAATATCAATTTCAAAATAATTGTTTAAGCCTTTCAAAAATGTTATCTTTCATTATATTTCTAACAAACATTAATTCTGATAAGATTTTAAAATAAGGATACTCTAATTAACATATCAAGTTTAATAGCGAGCGATTATCAAATGTATTACATAATCATTCAATATTTAAAACAAAAAGAATGACTTGACTACATGCCAATGATAAATTTTTTATATTTATTAATATACTGTATATTATTCGAAATAAAAAAATAAAAAATAAAAGAATAAATTACCTTTCATCTTTCATCTCGACATTCATTTTTCCAGATAAATGCTGCACTCGAGGATTGACAATTATACGATTATATTATCATTATTAATAATCACAAGATATGACCAATAAAAGTGATAATTGATGTCACTGATTTTAAAAATACAAGTTCATTTTCAAAATACTAAATTGCACGAAAACAAAAATTTATTCTTTTAAAAAACAAAATGACGATTGTTAAAGGAACAAATTGATCAGTGCATCTCATAACATTTAGGCTTGATTCAATGTTTGACACTATGGTTACGGACTCTTTGAATCATTTATTTTTATTTACCAAAAAAAAATTCCATTTTTTTTTATTTCATTTGTTTTTTTTCAGAAGATCATTTCCTTTTTTCCCAAAAACGAGCGATTTTCCTCAAAATATTAATTATTTTGTTTATAGAAAGTATATTTTCTCACGGTTTTTTGTTGTTACTCGAAATCTCTTGAAAAGTTTATCATCCAGAAACATCTTTTTTGATAGTATGTTTATACTATAGTTTGTATAATATATTTAATTTCATTATTATTGATATTATAATGATCAAAAAATCCAATTTACGATTAATATATGATTAATATATGATCAATAGTTATCAATAGTATAAATGATAGTTAACAATAAACTTATCGTCTCGATTGTAGAAACTTCTTAGCAGACTATAACTAACCATAACTGGATAAATTGAAAAAAAGAGATGGGATTCATAATTCTTTGATTACGTCTTGTTGATAAACAAGAAGCCTAATTAGCTTTTTATTAAACTTTCAAAGTTTTAACTTTCAAAAGCAAAGTTTTTTTTTGAGGTCTCTGCCCCCTTTTTATAATCCTTATAAAACCCTCCAAATTTCTCTTGTCAAACTTTTTTTTCATTCCTTTAATCCTTTTCGTTCTGTTATCAATAAAATTTATTTTGTTCTTTTTTACAATCTTTTACGAAATTTTTCTCTATTGATACCAAAAATTTTTTTTCATTGGTGTCGAAATTTTTTCTTGTTAGTTCTTTGTTGGTAAGTCGTCTTGATGAATGGACTTTCATAACCATTTGTATTAAAGATATTGTCCGAAAATTATTTGTATTTTGTTTTTTATTTTCTTGCCTTTCGCTTTCTACTTCTTTTCTACTTTTTATTAAAAGATTCCTTTTCCTTTCGTGCGTTGAAACATATTTAAACATAAATATTTCATTTAAAATCTTTTTGTATTAAGACCTTTTTGTATTTTTTATTTAGCTATCCCATTTGAAATGAGTTTTTCAAAATTTTCAAACGGCAATTTCAATACTTCCAAAGCCGCACTTCAAAAGGTATAATTTTTGTTTTGTATTTTCGTTGATTTAAAGGCCTGATTCAACATTATCAAAATTATATATATATACATAAGTTTATAAATTATATTTAATGTTTTTTCATTACCTTTTGTATATTTTATAATTTTAGAAGCATGCAATTTCTGCATTACGAAGCATTGTCAATGATGATAATAAATGTAAATCAAATTGTATGTATGTTTATAATGTACATTTAATTGTTTCTTTGGTTTTATTTATTTATTTTTATTAACTTCAAAAAGTAACAGCTGGATCTTCGTCTTCATCTTTTGATCTTATTCCATCTCATGGCTTTTATAATGAAGAAGAATTGATTCGACAATGTGACAAATTATTTGTCGATCTCGAAAATTCTGAAAGATTCAATATGGATACTTGTCAGGTTGCTTCCTATACTCATTCTTTATTGAATGGTTCTATCGATGGATGCAATCTCTGGGGTCTTAATTTATCACGTTGCCTATATGTGAATAATTTTCCAACAGAGCAAAACCAATGGCGTTATTTGAGATCAATTTTCGAGGTACCATTTTTATTTAACAAACAATAACTTTTTTATTATAACGTCTAAAGTTTATATTTATATTTCAATTTTATTCATAAAGATTTATGGGGTGGTTCATGAAATATTTGTTGGAATCGGTTTTGCTTTCATCATATATTATGATATTCGTGACTCAATGAGAGCAAATATTCACCTCCGAAATATAGTCTCTCCTGATAGCAGCAGAAGAATGGAAATAAAGTATTCATCCATTTCATGGATCGTTAAGGTAAATTTATTGGAAATTCGTTATAAAAACTTTTAATACTTTATATAATCTATATGTTATATTATATAGAAATTCCCAAACATTAAAGATGATTATGAGTGGAAAAACGACGGAACCATTAAAGTTTCGTGGAGGGGATCACTCCGACTTAAACGAACGATTCTTGTAAGTGTAATTTCATGTGTGATTATATAAAGAACCTGGTATAATGGATCTGATAATAATTCTTGACTACTTTTTATTTTTGCAGAATGCCTTTGTACAAGTCAGTGAAATCAGAAATATATTTTCTGATGATACCTCTTGTACAGTTGTTATCGAATATTTCGATACACGGGCTGCTTTGTCCGCGAAAGAAAAATTTGACGGACAAATGCTTAAAGTAAATATTTGATCGTGTCGTTTTACTATTTAACCTATCATAATTATTATTCATCATTATAATAAATCATTACATAGTTTCATAATATTTTAATAAATGTGGAATTTTATGATATGGAAACAAATTCGTGGGATTTAGTTTCCGAAGATTTTACGAATCGTACAAGATCTAGTTCCGTCGTCGTTTCTCCTCTCCCACTGCCTCGGCAACTACCGAATATAACTCATAATCCCCATTCTTCTACTAGAATTCATTCTTTTAGTTCTCACCCCATTCATTCTCATGCTGTTCAATCTCAATTAACTTCAACTCATTCTTCTATTTCAAATTCTCAACTTGCTGTTTCGACTTCTGATGATCATCAATCGACAATCATTCGTTTTGAATCAACACAACCAGTCTCTTATCCTCAATCACAACAAATAACTTGTGAAAGTTTCAATCCAAATTCGTTACTCATTCATCCTGGCTCTCAATCGACAAAATCGACACAATCTACTCAATCGATCCAGTCTACTCAATCGACCCAATCTACTCAGTCTACTCAAACTCAAAATGATAGTGATAGTGATACGCAGAAGCATTCACCACCTGCGAATAGCACAATTATATCATCTGGCAACAGAGCGATCCCTGAAAAAAATTCTGTTGATCTTGAAAAAATAAGGAGGGGTCTGGATAAACGAACAACATTCATGATTCGAAATATACCAAATAAATATACACAGGTATTAATAATCATTTGTATAATTTGTATATATATGACTTAATGAGTTATTCATATTTATTTTCTCTTTTGTAATAAGCGTATGCTTTTAGATTGGCTTGACGAAACCCATCGAGGCCAATACGATTTCGTCTATTTACGAATTGATTTCAATAACAAATGTAATGTCGGTTACGCATTTATTAACTTTGTGAGCGTTGAGTAAGTTTGAAAATTTGAAAATTTGATGCATTTCTAAATATATATTAAGACATTTCTAAATTTATTAATGATAAATTTAATGTAGAGCCGTAATTAGTTTCGCAGAGGTTCGAGTTGGGCTAAAATGGTTTATGCAGTTTTTATTATATTCGTTGATAAGATATATTATTATTATTTTTTTTTTTTTTTAAAAAAAAAAAAAAAATTTTTTTGCATCCTTCAATAGGCCAAACTTTAATTCAAATAAAATATGCGAGCTCTCGTATGCTAACGTTCAAGGTAGAAATGCTCTTATTCAAAAGTTTCGAAATTCAGGGTAAATATTCATCTATGTTTTATAAATCACTTGTTTTTTGTACATTACTGATTAAATTTTTTATTATACAATACTAGAGTAATGGCCGAGGCACCTGAATTTAGACCAAAACTTTTCTATACAACTGGACCTATGAGTGGACTTGAAGCACCATTTCCTAAACCCAGTTGTGTTGAAAAACTGGCAACTTTGAAAGCGGTTTTTTAATTTTAATTTTAATTATAATTAGAAATAAATTTTTTAGTATAATAAATTCTATAATTTGTGTTAAAGTATTAATTTATAATAATGATAAATTCCTGATGATCAGTTTTTTTTATCTAATTTCAAAACTTTAAATGTCGTCATGTGAATCGATATTAAAACCATGTGATTTATTGCAAATGAAAGGATTCCTCAGATCAATTTAACAAGAAATTACGATACAAAATTTTTTTTAAATACTTGTATAGATTAAATGGTAGAAAGACGCAAATTATGAGTTATTTTTACACATAACTAATTACTATATTGAGAAATAAAGAATTCAGAAAATCAATAATCCAATTCTTGAACAAAATAAATATTTTCAGAAGGAACAAACGGTACGTATTCACATGTCGCATATGTTTTTAACCCCCATTACTACTCATAACAAACTATGTGCTGGATTAGCTAATCTATTTTAAAATATTTAAAATATTTTCGGTAAATTTCTGACCGTGACAGTGGTATATTTCAATATTTTAGTATAGTATTTTGATAATATTATATAATGTAATTAGACAATTAGCATAATTGGCTTGATTTTTAGACATTCGTAGCGAAGATTAACAAATTGCATTCCATTGTATTGATTATGTTATTTAATATAATATTAGAAAGCCTTTTTTAATAATTATTTAATTATATAAATTTAATTATAACCATATAATTTATATATTAAATTTTGAATGTTGACCAAAACCTGTTAATAATTTTATTTAAATTTAATAAATAAAATATTGAAATATTCGAAGATAGTGAAAAATAGTAAATAACAAATTTTTTTTAAAAAAATTTTACATATTTTTACATTACATTTGTATATAAGTATGTCACACAAAAAGCTGGTATATTTTAATATAACTGATAAGGCTTAAACTTTACATTATTATTGTATGATTTAATTTATGTCTCCGGATTTCTCAAATAATCCTTATTTTCATTTTTTTTCATATTGTAGGATAATTTAAGTATATTGTATCAATGAATTTAGTGAATTTTTTCTTTATTATTAATAAATGATACTTGTAAAAATTTGAAATATCGTAATATTCGAGAATTGTGATTATTCACAAAATGACCTTTTAATTTTATTCTTTTTTTTCTACAATAACATTTTATAATATTTTTCTTCCCAATTTGAGGACACCGTGAAAACAACCTAACAATTATAATAACTATAAAAATTCTAAGCAACTATTTAGAAAGAGTTATCAAACAGAAACATTATCTCTGGTAACAAGATTTTCCACTGACATTTTTGAATTTCTTGTCTTTGGTCCTCGTTTTTTTATAGGAGGGACATACTTGCAATTGAGATTACGTCTATTACACCTTGAACAACGTGGTCTCTCCGTGATATGGTTTTTATTGAGATTTTTATTAAGATTTGGATTAGATGTGAAGGTAGGAGAAATTATATGTGGATTACATTGGTTGCCTGTTTCTTGAATATTAGAATTCAATTTATTATCTTTTTCTCCCATATCCATCTTCGTTTCATAAATTTCCATTTTCGTTTCTTTATCGTTTGAATTGATGATAGTCATAGCCTCAGGTGAATTCAAATTATTATTGTTATTATTAACATTATCGTTACCATAGTTGTTATCTTTGTTATTTTTATGAGAAGAAATATTTTCAATACTGATTGGGATATGAACATCAAAAGATTGCACACATCGAGTTTTTGATTTTTTACAATTTTCGCAAGCAAGAGTTGTGTAATTACGGGATACCTTTCCTTTAACAGATGGAGACATTTTTTTGGTTAAGAAATTAAAAAAATTTTTTTTTTTTTTTTTAGAATGTTAAAATGTGATAGTACTATAATATTTTTTTATATAGAAATATTTAGAGAAGAAAAATTTTATAAAAAAAAAAAAATGATGGGGGGAAATAATTCACACAATATATTTATATTTAACTTTTCTAATGGATTAATTTGTTTAGTGTGTTGCAAATTTTGCATCTTTTGTCTCACTTATTTAAACAAAGAATAAATAATTATTCCGTTACATAATATTTTTATTTTAACCATAAAAGATAATTTTACATTTGATTGGTATTTAACTTGTATAATGGAAAATTTTGGAATTATTCCGGAATGAAAAATCCGATTATTCCGAAAAATCGGAATTTCTAAATAATATTCTTGGTCATTGACAAAATTTATTTTCCTCATAGAAATTTCCATAAAAGGAGCTCTTTATTGACAGTCAGATGTTGTTGTTTCTATCGGAATTATATTTACACAAGAGAAGGAATTATTTAGAAAATTTTGTAATACATGATTATTTATAGTTCAAAACTTTGCATCATTGTTTAATAATTGCTTTTATTATCATTATGAAACTATGACATACCATAATTTTTATTAATTTCTAAAATTGGGAAATTAATGAAACGTATGAATTTTATTGGTTTTATTCAAGTGTCACCGAAATGTTGCAAATTCTAATTATTCCGTTAAAAAATTTTTTATTCCGAGAAACAACTAAATTGACTGAAAACAAAAGGATTGGACTAAATATAAAAAATTTTGTAATAAATTATTTTCTCACCTTCATCATTCATCATCTCATCTTTATAATTCATTATCTCATCTTTATCATTCATCATATCTTCTCATCTATGGATAACTATTTCCTTTTAATTAATTAAATTCTTTAATTAAATATTTTATTTGTAATTTTATTTGAGACAGACGGAGAAAAATATGAATATAATTGTTTATTTCATATTAGTAATGATTATTGATATTTTTCGGTTAAATTCTGTATATAATCCGTATAAGAATTTTTTATTTATTATTAATAAATGCATAAATGAGATAAATGAGATAAATGATGGAAAGTTTGGAATGTTTGTAAAATTCTTTCAAATTCTACTAAATAAAAGCTTAAAATTTAATTAATCAAGTTTCTTAATGAATAATCTATAAATAAATGCATATACTGTAAATGTGTTTTGCATTTAATACAAAATAAATTTAAACGTCATTCTAATGAAAGTATATATTAGTATATATTGGCATCTATTAGAATATATTTAGTATATACTTAGTACATATCAAGGTATTATTATATTATTATATTTAAACTATATTTTTAGACTGAATTCATGTTTCAAAAATAACATTATTTCCTTATAGAAAAAATAGAAAAAAATTACAAAGGAAAAAAATATTCAAATGAATTTTTTACGTTATGCGAAAATGTTTATTATATGCATCTTTATGAAACAAAGTAAACAAAGATTGGAATTTTTTGTTTCAGAAGAAGTGTAAACAATCTTTAATCTTCAATAGCATTATGTCATTAAATTTTTTTTACCAGATTCAAATCTATTCAAATCTATTCAGTTCTATTCAAATCTACAAGATTTTGTATAAGATCAAAGGACTAGAATTTCCAGTTATAAATCACGAAATTAACAATGTACATCATTATTTCGATTTTTTGATTGTCGCCGTGTCACTATTTTATGGCCATATGAAAATATAAAATAGGAAATTCTAAAGTTTCGCTTTTTACAAAATTTCCCAAATGGAATAAATTGAATAAAATTTCCATAATGTAGCTTTGATTTTTATAAATTACCGTTGTGGCTTTTGTACATCTAGAAATTACTAAAGTAACAAAAAAACATTTGCGTCGCTTTTGTAAATTAATTTTTGTATCACTTTAAATTGTATTAAATGGTTAAAATTAGTTCAGTATTTTTTTTTTTTTTACTGATAAAAATAAATTCTTCCATTAGTAGAAATTATAGAATTCATAAGACTAATGAGCAGAGAAAATTTTAAAGATAAAAAGATTATATTATTATTATTATTTATTGAAAGATATCCAGGAAATATTTCTGGATTTTTCACTAAACATTATATTGATAATTTCCTGAATTATTTATTAACTATTAAATAAATAATGACTTGCTAGACCATGAGTCTATATTACTAATATTTCCACTTACTCTTTAATTAATTCAAGCTAGACCTATAAGAATCAACTTAATTAAATTTTCGGTTCATTTTATAAATACAATACATTATTGATAATTTATCTTGATTCTATTAACTATTTTGTTAATTGAACTTGTGTAAATGTGTAATTGTGATAACGAAACCAATTTTATTTAGTGAACAAGATATTTTGAAAATAAAATTTCTTAAAAAATAATTTATTATTGTATAATTTAATAAATTTTTATAAATTTATCTTATCCTCTTTCCTTAGATATTTTTATAAATTTATCTTATAATAAAATTATATCACTCTTTCCCTTGGATATGTGATTTTAGACCTGTATCAATAAAATTATAATAGTTTATATGTGATTGTTCCTTAAATTCTTAAATTTGTAATTAATAATAATTAATAAGCAGAATATAGTAAACCCATATTTTTTTTTTGACAATAATATTTGCATGTAATTATAAGAATATTTTATGAATAAAAATTAATGAAATTCTTTGAGAAGAGCTGGTCAGTTTGAAGAACATGATTTATGATTTGTTGTATCAAATTGTAAACGTTGTACCACTATTACTTTGAGCCAATACTTTATTAATAATCAAAAATAAAAAATAAAAAATAAAAAACTAAAATAATTAAATTGTTAAGCCTTGATTTAATTCTTGATAGATCAAGTTTTTTTTTTCCCAGAAGTATTTTCAATTGTTTTTATTCACGTAATTTGTCGCCTTAGTTGTTTATAATTCGTTGTTGTGCAATTAGAAAACATGAGCCCGTTGCGTAAATAAATTTCGTATTATAAATAATTAATTCTGATATTTCTAATTTTTTCCAAAAAAAAAACAACTGATTTCATTTGGGCAACTTAGTTGAAAGAAGGTTCATTTAATAGATAGGAAAATCGAAATAATCGAAATAATAGAAAATTATAAGGAGATTCGAATTTACAAATTTAACTTTCCTTTGAAGAATTTAAAACCTGTTTTAACTCTTAATTGGGCATATTGTATGATCACGCGATTTACTATTTTGCTTTGTGGATGTTGTGAAATACTAAAAAAATAATAATATTGCGTGATTCTTTCCAATATGGATTTTTTCGTTTGGAGAAAATAATTTCTTCTTTAAGATTTTAGAATATCATGAATTTATCATTTATTGTAATGCAAGCTTCGATTTTTACTGAATACAACACAAATGGTCATACCTCATATGATTGGGCGCTGATAAATTAAGCAATCCCAAAATAAGAGATCCACCTTCCATGGCGTACGTCACATTTATTTTGTGGCTTCTTACTAATATAAGTCTGGTTCGAAAGTTTCATACAGGTCGAAAAGTTGCAGGTTTGGTGAAACAATGTTTATAAAAGTTGTCACAACAGCTTTAAATCATATTTTATTATCAATCCTGCCCAATTTTTTTATTTTATTTTTATACTTTTCTATTTAAAAAATAATATTTAAATCCTCCTTAGGTCTTATCGTACAATTTTTTGATGGTTGCATAAAAAAAACCTTACTTTACCCGCTGTTTGAACACCACTCAAAGGGAAATCAAAACTGCTGTTGTACTTCCCCGTTACTAATAATAATTTTTGACTTATTCTTTTTATTAGAATTTTTTTTTTCTATTGTATTTATCTTTTTTTTTTTTTTTTTTGTCGTTTAATCTTCTACGTATCGCCTCCTCCTTATTGTAACCTATATTTTCTCCTTGTTTTATCTTTTTTTTTTCCTTCCCTCATATATTTAAATATATTTAGTTGTGGTTTTATTTATCTATCTGTATTTTTTTACGTTTCTATTGTGAGTCCTTACGTTGACTTCCCTTTATTTAAAGAACTAGATACTTTCGGGTGAACACGGCAACATAGAATCTATATTACGAACTGAACAAATTTCCAGAATTTAAAGTTTCACTTTATGGTTTCCTTGGAGGGCTGTAAACAACTAATTTGAAAAATTATTAAACCAATTATTAATAATAAATTTAGTGTTTTTCTTGATAAACTGTCGTCTCGGTCCTCACTTTCATCCTAAAGTTTCATAATTACTTTGTATATAATTGCACGTTCGACCAGTAAATGGCAAACGGTGAAAAAAGATTAATACCAGAAGACAGAATGGAAAAAAGAAAAGTTACGAAAAGACGTCAAACTGGTACTACAGCAAAGGATGATATTGAGGTAAATTTTTTTTGGTTTAATGGTTTAAAAATTCCAATTTCGGATATAATTTAACGACGAAATATTTTTTGGATCAAAGATAAAATAGATAAAATTCAATAAATAATAATTATAATTATAATTATAATAATAATAATAATAGTAATAATAATAATAATAGTAATAATAATAATAATAATAATAATAATAATAATAATAATATGATAATAAAATTTCAAAATACTTTTTCATATTTTATAGCTTTTTCAATCACCACCCAGTTCACCATGCCTGACACCCAGATCTTCACATCTTACATCTTCCTTAGAAGCCCCTTCTCAGTTACAGACACCTTTTTCATCTCCATCATCTTCAAGACCCACATCTCCAGATATTATAGATGCATCATTTTTTATACCTTCACCTTCTCGTTCCTCTACTCTTTCTTCCACTTTGTTTCCCAAAGAATATTGTCCCAATGTCGCAATTATCACTATTGTAACTAGTGAAACTAGTGATCAAATTTTATTAGACGAAGAATTTATTATTCAAGAACAAATGTATCAACAAAATATAGAAGATATCACTCATATGAATGTCGTTAATAGTTCTATACCTCCATGTGCTAGATGTCCACCAGAAATAATATATCACATATTTGAGATTTTACATATTCTTCATCAACCTTCCTTATTCTCTTGTATTCTCGTTAATCATCAATGGAATGCCATTGGAACTAATGTTCTTTGGAATTCACCAAAATTTACTCACATGCGTTCACTTGATAGATTCATTAAAACCATAGAAAATGCACCATCATCTCAACAACAAAAACAACAACATCAACAACAACAACAACAACAACAACAACAACAACAACAACAACAACAACAAGCATCATCAACAGCATCATCAACAGCATCATTAACATCATCATTAAATCATCCTTATTCTTCTTATATTCGCACTTTGGATCTTACTCATCTCACAGAACATGATCGTAATAATTCATCCTTATCATCACATCTTCTTCGTTTACTTCCACTTATTCATACAGAAAATCTTCACACACTTAATTTAAGTTTTGTTAAAGGAATTACCAATAGTTATCTCACAAAATTATTATCACCATTTTTTAATTGTATTCGTACTTTAAATCTTGCTGGTGGATCACGTTCAGATACATGCCTTTCATCAATTATACCTCATTGTCATCAAATTCAAAATCTTTCACTTGCATGGAATACTTCACTTTCAGATGCATCAATTAATAAAATTTCAACTGTATGTGGTGATAAATTACGTACACTTGATTTAACAAATTGTGAAAAAGTTAGTGATAGATCAATGAATTCTATTTCACAATATTGTATAAAATTAAGGGAATTAAGAGTTAGTTATTGTCGTGGAGTAAGTGAAATAGGGGTTAAATCAGTAATTGAAGGTTGTGAAGGATTAAAATTATTAGATTTAGTAGGATGTTTAAGTGTAGGCAGAGATTTCTTAATGAAATGTAATGATGAATTTAGTTTAATTAATCGTGATTTAAAAATTATTTGGAGGAGAGTTACTGAAGGATCACCTTCTTGGGTAGAAGAAAGTTGAATTATACTTTGGGAAGGATTTTCTTGGAATTATATATCAAATCAAATCAAATCAAAATAATATATATATATCAATCAAATAATATATATTCACATTTTTTTTTACAAAAAAAAACCAATTCCAGTTGTTTCGATTTTTATTATTATTATATTACAATTTCCATAAATGAATGAAATGTGAGATAAAAAAATTAGTGATGTTTACATTTTTTTTGTACATTTACATTCGAAAATAAGACAAATCCTCATTATTAATATTATTATTAATATTATTATTAATATTATTATTAATATTGTTATCATTAATATTATTAATATCATATCATTAATATTATTAATATCATATCATTAATATTATTAATGAGCATTAAACAAACAAACAACCAACTTTGAGAATTTATGAATCATAAAAAATTTATTGGTAATCTTTTCACATGTTTTTAATAATAATAATAAATGAATAAATAAATAAATATATATATATTTATTTATTAGATATAAGAACAATATATAACACGTGCTTATGGAATTTATGGAATGTATCAAATTATCAATCTATATTTAGTAAAATAAATTACCAGGTAAAGAAAGTAAATTGATAAAAATGATGGTTTTTGATATATCCCCCTGTTTCCCCCGTTTTACAAAATAATAAATTTTTGATTTGAAAACGGTGAATAAGAGGGAATTTATAATATTTTCTTCACTTGTCTAAGTCATTACTCATTCAATCATTGATTTGCCTCCAAAAAAATAATAATAATAATAAAAATTTTGGATCAAAGGTTTTTTTTTTTTTCGTTTGTTTTGTTTTATGTATTTTCAAAATGTAAATGATGCAAATGAATGTTATTATCTTGTTGTTACAATATGAGAGATTTTTTGGGGGCTTTTTTTTTAAATCTCCGTAAATAAAAAAGAACCGTTAACAATAAACTAAATACCCCCCAAAAAGAAAAAGGAATATAATTAATGAAAATAATCCAAAAAAAAAAGAATGAACAACAAACAAATAAAGAAATATAAACATGATAATCAAAAAATACAAAGATTATTTGCTAAAAATATATATAAATTATGCTGTATGTAAAATAATAAATATCCTTTCTGATGGAAAAATCTTATATTTCTTTCTTTCTTTTCTTTTTATTGTTTTTCACCCCCCCACCACCACCTGCGGGAAGCCCGCAATTGTTAAATGTATGTTATTGTTGCAGTTCCATTATGCAACTATACAAACTAAAATATGAATAAAAAAAAAATTGAATATATAAACAAAAAGAAATCTCAAGTTAACATATTATACAACAACAACTGGATTTTTTAATAGATCCTTCATCGTCATCAGAGTTTTCAACATTCTTGTCATCCTTATAACTCTTCTTGTTCTTTCGTTTTTTCTTATCTTTTTTGATCTTTTCATTTGGACTTGAAGTGAAGGTCCTTTCAAGGTCTAATGTAAATGGAGGAACAAGATTGTTATTGTTTGTTACATTCGGTTGGATTATTCTGTTTTCACTGTATTCTCCCGTTTGAGAATTTTGCGGATCCTAAATTAATTATGAAAATAAAAATAATTAAAATATTAATATATATATAATATATATATCTTTATTATTATTTTTTTTTTGATTTTAACAGAATAATTTTCCACATACATTATCAGTTTCTTTTGATATCTCTTCCTCACGTTCGTGTTCAGCAGAATTTCCCTCAGGAGACAATGTAGTTGAAGTGGACATTGATGGTTCGGATAATGTTAATGACTATAGAAAAATAAAATTTAAATAAATAAATATATATATATATATATAGAAAAAATATATTTAGATGAATGAATTAATAAAATTACCGCTGAAGAACGAGGTTTAACAATATCACCAAATTCATCTTCTTCATCTTCATCCCTTATAACCAGTACAAATTCTTCCCTTCGAGATTTCCTATTTGCTTTTTTAAATTCAATCATTTTTTTTTCTTGTTCAACATCTACATCTGCATAAGGGCTGGAAGATTCTTCAACTCGCTCACGAGATAAATTCATCATTTTGTCATTATCCTTGTTGTTGTTGTTGTTGGAAATTGATCCATTTCGAACTCTGCTTGGTATCTTTGATCTTTGAGAACTTGAATTTTTTCGATTTCTTCGATATTCCGGAACTGATGATACAGGTGATTGTCTTCCATGATGCTGTTGATTTTTATTTTCATTAAATGAACCTTTTACCTGATCGTTAATATTTACATTTCCATTTTTTGATGATAATGAAGGATTAGGTTGATCTAGATCTAGTTCATCATATGTACCAAGTAATGCGTCATGATTTTGATAAGGTAATTGACCATTCATTTTTAGTTTCTTCGCAATTGTAGGTATAATCATTTCATCATGAGAAATCGTGGGTCGTCTTCGTGGAACTTTTTTTAATTCTTTATTTTTAACGTATTTCTCTGGTTCCTTTTGTTCTTCAAATTCTGCAGATTCCGATTGTTTCTCACGTTGTTCTTTTTCAATTAATTCCATATGATAAGTTGAGACGATAGGTCTTGATGATGTTGAAAGTCGTGGAATTTTCGTGGAAGTTAAAGAATTATCGGAAATATCCGAACCTGGAGGAGGAGTTGGAGGAGATGATAATTCTGTCGTTGTAATTTGTAGGTCATCAACTGAATTCGAATTTGATGATTGTGATGTAGTTGGTGTCATTGGAGGTGTAGAAATTCCATCTATATTAAATAAACGATTTGGTCGATGATGATTATTATTCATAGAAGAAGAATTATGAATTTCATTATCAATATAATTTAATTCAGTTGTCGTCGTCTTATTTAAATTTTTATTCTTATGATTATTTTGGATCTTATTATTATTATTATTATTATTATTTATCTTTTCCATGGATATAACAGTTGTTTCAGTCATATCATTCATATTTATAAATGTATTCTTATTATTAATATTAATATTATTATCAATATTATTAATACTATTATTAATATTATTAATATTTAAAATACCATTCTCTTTAACATTTATTTCTTCAATAGGTAATGTTCGCTTTTTATTGTTTCTTGAAGAACCATTTTCATTTGAAATACCATTTGAAATAAGTTCATCATCTGGTTTATTTCGTTTTTCTGATGTTGAATTAACATTATTTGTGATCGTCGTCATCGTTTCTTCATCATCCACTGTTAATATTTTTTCGGTAAATTTTCCTTTACCAGTAATTGTTGATCGATCTGGTTTTTCTGTTTCAGGACCCACAGAATTCCATGATTTTCCACCACCATTAGAATTGGTGTTGTTATTTAAAAATCTGGTTTTCGGTGAATTATGATCACCGCTAACAATATTATGTTTATTATTCCATTGTCGATTGTTATTCGTCGTTGATGTAATATCGTTATTTATTATTGAATTTTTTGATGATGGAGGTATAATAACATTTTGTACAAAATTTTCTAATGTTAATCCACTGCCGGAATTTCGAGGGATTTTATCTCGTTTTTTAAAAGGGTCCGGTATATTTCTTTCGGGGTCAAGATCTGGTGAAATTTCAACAAACTCTAGCTTTGAACACAAATGTGAACATATGAACATGTTAATAATAATGTAAAATAATGATGAAAAATGAGAAAAAAAAATAATTTAGATAAGGAAATGGATTAAAAGAAATAAATAATAAATAAAATAAAAAAGAAATCAAATACAATTAAACCGAGGTTATTAAAACCAGACTATAATTAAAACTGAGAATATTATTAAAACCAGATTATTTTCTACTAACCGAATCAGTCGTACTAAAACGAATCTCAAAAGCAGCGGGTGCGACTTGTTGTCTTCCTATTTGTTGTCGTTTTGACATTATTCACTAGTACCTAAAGACTTTATAAAAGGAAATGGGATAACCCCAGTTATCCAAATATTTATCTAATAGTTAATCGTGTAAAAAGAAAGATAGTGGTAAAGAGGCAAGAAGTCTGTAATAATAATTTAAAATAAACGGGAAAGTTGAAAACGTTATGGTTATTTTAATTTTTTTATTTTGTCAAAAAAGATTTTTTCCCTTGTCGTCACTTGTTGTTGATGTTGAAAATATTTTAAGCAGTTTTTTTTTTTTATTTTAATAAAAGAATTTTTTTTTTTTGGCTTAGGCAGCCTGCTGCAAAAATTATTATATATATAAAAACTGCGGTGGCGAAAAGGAAAGTAGAAAAAGAAAAAAAAAAAAGTAAAAAAAATTCGTTAAAAAGAAAAAAAAAAAGGTAATATAAGAATAATATTATAAAGCAATATAAGAAATATGTATAAGAGTAATAGTGTGTGGTTTAGGTGGTAGTTATGAGAAAAGGCAATATTAACAACAACAACAGATAGACAAATAGACAGACAGATAGGCAGACAATTTAGTTACAAAGAATACAAGAATCGACAAAGATTTAGAAAAAAAAATTTTTGGTTTTTTTTTTTTTTTTTTTTTTTTTCTATTGAATAGTTACACGGATGTGATAATAAAATAATAAAATATAATAAAAAAATAATATATATTTTTATGTAGTCATTAAATTTATCACAATAATATTTATAAAACTGTTCTTTTACTTATGAGAGACATTTCGGAAATTTCCGGGGAAGTATACATAAGATAATAAGTATAATAAGAGACAAATAAGATACGGAAGAAAAACTCATATGATAAGAGATATATATAAAAGGGATATCAGAAATATATATGTTCTTTTTTCTTTTTTTCTTCTTTTTCTAAGGGAGAAAATTGGGAGTATTGATAATAATAATTAATTAAAATAATTAAAATAATTAAAATAATAATAAATAATAATAAAATAATAATAAATACAAAAAAAAAAAGGGAAAATAAAATAAAGATTTGATTCGTGAAAAATCATTTAAATTTTGGACAACAAAATCCCGCCATAATATACAAAGATGCAGCTAAATTTCAATATTACCTTTTCAATATTTACTTCTCTATAATTCTATAATTATAAATTAACATTATTAATGATTAATATAATTAAAGAAAAATCTTTAGCTTTAGTGAAACAAGTGGAATAATTGCATAATTGACTTAATCGGGCATAATTACGCAACTTATAGAAAAAAAAACCTTTTTTGGATATCTAAAGGAAATCTATATTAACCGTCTGATATACCTGTTTGTGTGTAGGGAAAATTGTTCTCAAGGAAAAAATGTGTAAAGAGAAAATGTAAATATGAATTTAGGAATAGGAATTTAGATTATTTAGAATATTATTTAGATAGGAATATGTATGAATAGAAATGAGATAAATTTGAATATGTAGTGCATTCCTATTTCTTTGATACAGTTCGATACTTGTCCAAATTACGTTTACACATTATTTATTATAATTATTACAAATTTGAAATATTAAATTAGTTCGATTTTTCGTAGTTACAAATAATAATATGTACATGATGTACAATTTGTGCCCCGTGTACAAAGAATGCGCGGCAAAATCAAAAATCACTTTAGTTTTTAGTTTTCTACGGTTAGCTCATTTTTTTTTTCATTTCTTTTTAGCTGTAAAAGCAAGTGCACATTTCGACCACACCACACATGGAATTTGATGATGAAAATTTAAAAGATTAATATAGTATCTGTATAGATTTTATAATTTTATAGATTTATAGTTTAATTAGTGATAAATTTCAGTGATTAGGTTATTATTATATGAAATTACACTATGTGATATGTGATTAAATTATTTTAATTAATGTTTAACGGTAATTATAGCTATTATTATTTATAATATAATTTATTATTTTATTATTATTATTATTATCATCATCATTATTATCCTGATTCGAGAAAACTTTACTAATTCTGGCTAACTAAAAAAATAATAGTTAATGGGAGCTAACGGTTCTTGTACAACAATTTTTATAATTTTTACATAGTTGGAAAAAAAAAATAACAAGCGGAATCATATGCTCTAAATACTCTAAATACTTGTCTTCTACGAGTTGTGGAGAGGGGATGAAAGAAAAAAATATGAGTAAAAAAAGGAGAAATCGTGTTACAGCTAAATTTTTGAATTTGTGAAAGGTGTTCGTGTGTTCATCATGTGGGGAGCAAAAGAATGTTGTTCTTTTTTTTTCTATATGCAATTATCTTGTGATTCAAGATAATAATATACCTGCATATGTGTGAGTATATGAAATGGCATATATGGTGAAAGAAAAAAAAAAGACACAAAAATAAAATTTTATGCATACGATCCTTTTTTAGAAGCAATAATAAAATTTTATAACATATGAAATTATGATTGAAAAAAAAAATCTTTATGATAATAAGATAGTGATAGTAAGAACAAAAAAAAATTATCCATTGTCATTGTTATTTGTATGTAAGTGATGTAAATGTTGTTATTGTCCCCAAATTAATAATAATAATAATAATAATAATAATAATATAATAATAATAATAATAATAATATAATAATAATAATAATAATAATATAATAATAATATTAATAATAATATTATTATTAATAACTAAACCAAATCAACTATCGATTAAACTATCGATTAAACTATCGATTAAACTATCGATTAAACTATCGAGTATTTTAATAACTAAATAAAACATTATAATATATTCCAAAAACTTGTTTAAAAACCGGAGTATCTAATATGTATTAACAATAATTCGTAAAGCTGTGTAAACTAAAGACCGATATTTAGGTTCATTTAACCAGTTATAAACATTTTATTTCGTAATTATTTTATTTCGTAATTATTTTATCTCGTAATTATTTTATTTCATAATTTATTTTTTTTTGTATAACATATAACATGCTATAATAATATTCTTAGAACAATATGCTTAGAATATGCTATCAATATGCTTAGAATACGTTACTTTGTAATATATACAACAATCTATTTAGAAAATCAATATGTTACAATAGATAAAATATTTGATTAAAATATATTTAATATATTTAAAGAAAAGGAAATGAAAAAATTTCTAAAATTTCATTCATTTTGTAATCCAATCAATCTATGAACTGACTAAAAAAATTATCTGCCAAAGGATATCGTACTCATACTAACGTTTTTTTGTTGCTGATTTATTACAATCACGTGTCAATGGTTGTAATGGTAGTTAATAACAGTAACCAATTAAACAATATGTTACAACAAGTATGGAAAAAGATATCTAATTGGTGTTTTAAATGAGGCTAACATAATACAAAATGAAATATTCTTTGTTGTTTATCCATTTTACCGTTAATATTATTATCTTTTTTTAAAAAAAAATATTGGTAGAATACGAATTATTAATTAATATTATTTTTTCGAAGAAAATAAAAAAAAAAAAAACTAACATCTAAATAAAGTTAATTAATTAACTTTTTTCATAATTTCTTTGTGGCGCCGAAAATATTTACCTGCAATTCCCCACTTTTTAAAATTGTACGACCAATGTAATAATGTAAATGTTATAATGTAAAAATTAATAATGTAAATGTTATAATGTAAAAATTAGTAAATATTGTAATATTGTAAAGTAAATAAAAAAGTATATATAATAATATAAATAATGTAAATAATGTAAATATTGTAAATATTGTAAAGTAAATAAAATATGTACAAATAATAATGTAAATGATTGTGATAAATTAAATTGAATTGTCGCTATTTTCGTAGTCTCCATTACCACACTGAGTCTAGAAGGTTCTTCTTATAATTAACTATAAAGTTAGTATACATAAAGGAGAATAAAGTATGAAAGACATTCATACTTCCATTGAAAAAAATTACGGAGTTTCTTGTCCAGAATTCCTATTTTATTTTTTCTTATCTTTGTATGAGAATCCAGAGAATTTGATCAACAATTGAATTACAATTTTCTAAACTTGTAAGTAGAAATTAATAATTATTATAATTATTTAATTATTTACCTAATTATTTAATTATTTAATTATCTATTTTTCATTCAACTTGTAAAAATGTGTAAATTAAGTAAATCATCATTGTTGTAGTTCAACTATCATCTTTTTACAAGTAGAAATAAGAAATTATTCTGGAGATATTACGCGAGAGCATCACGTGAATATAATGATAAGAATTACCTAAACACCAAGAGTCTAGGCTCTTATCCTAGGCCTCATGTGACATTATGTTAAATACATGGAAGGTTGCTAAAGTGTCATTTTTGAGACACCTATGGTTATTTTTTTGATGCATCAAATACGTGTGACAAAAATGAAAAAATGACAAAAATGGGGGCGTTAAAGCCAGGTTCGATCACATGACTAGACGATTATCGCCTGCCCGGAAGCCGAACTATCATATGACATTTCGGCCAATCAGATTGCGTAAAAATACTTCTCACGAAAAATAAAAAAAAACGTATAATAATTTTATAAACCCGTTTAAAAAATAAAGAAAATAAAATAATTTTTATAAACCCGAAGCATAGGGACAGTTCGTTTTTATTGGCTGGTGATCAATAGTGATCACAATAATGATCAACACTTATGATTGGTCAAAATGATAAATATTTTTTAATAACAATAAATATTTTTTTTAAGCGCAAGTGCACTAAACAAAAAATTATTCCATTATGCCTTGAAAAAAAAATTCTGGTCCTTGCTCAATATACAATTGTAGTTTTCAAGTATCCCGCTTTCGTCAAATTACTTTATTAGCACATAATAAAGCTCAAAATAATGGTTTATTTAAATTTTATCCTTATTTAAAAATTGGAGAACAGTTATGCCATATTCATTATTTGAGTATTGTTGAAACTGACCATTATCAAAAATCAAAAACTCAAGGTAATATTAAACAATTATAAAATTTAATACTATAATA